TAAGTTTAATAAGGGCACTCCATATTTACTTACTGAGTTTATCTCATAGTTTTTCCTTGTCCATCATTTCAGGAAGTGAAACCGAGGACGGGGAACCACGGGAAGTGACGAGTTAGAAAGCTAGCCATTTCGAGATTGATATAGATTCTAGAAATCGTGATCTTGTAAGCTAGAGTTTATTGGAGATTTATGATATCAGAGAGATTTTATAATTTGATCTTCAGATTTTGATGGTATCAGAGTGTGAATTGGATAAGTTCCGAGCCTTGTGCATTTGTGGGACCCGTCTCACGAGTGCATGGCGTCTGCCGCGCCTCGAATTTTGGTTTTGGGGCGTGACACTCCTTTTGTTATGTGTCAAGTTCCTTTAAACTTTCTAAATTACCCATGTAATGGCCTTTTTGCTAATGACTTCCAAACTAGTAGGCTTTAGGGCATTAGGTGAAGAGACATCCCTAAGAACATACTTACACAAGTAACAAAGGCCATGAAACATTTGACTTTTTTTTTTTCTTTTTTTCTTTTTAGCGATACAACACATTCGTCCCAAAGATATCACTTGTCTTTTGACGCGAATGCTAACACTTGTGATGAAAGCACCTAGTTACTTAATAAGTCATAAACTCAAAATGCTTTGCATACTTGTATATCAAGTTGTCATTTGACGTGAAAGTTGACATCAGTCTCACTAACCCGCAGTTACTAAACAACTAGAAACATTGGAGCAGAAATCAACAAATTCTTGTGTGTTAGCTTCCTTTTTTTTCTTTTATTCTTCCTTTATGTGCTTTTTAGGTGCTACTAAGTCGTTCTTCTAAACTTCTCACTACAAACTTGTGCTCAAGTGAAATATATACTCATGAACTTAAACTTCATCACAATAGTGCTATTTTTCAGATTTTGTATCTCCTCTAAAATTTAAAGATTTTAAAAGTTTTTGAACTTTCAACTCGAGAATATTTAATTCCTTGACACTAATTAGACCAACTCCTAAAAAAAATTACCCTAATTTCTAAAAAAATATGTGTGTCATGCAAATATAAATGCAAACTAATATAAGAATGGACATCTAAAAGTTATTCTCTCCCCTAAACTTAAATCAAACATTGTTCTCAATGTAAAATAAAAGAAAAAGAGAAACTTCCCAGTTTTGCACTTGAAAACTTAAAATTTAAGTTCTAAAGTTGAGTTGTCTTCAATTAGAGGAGATTTTTAGCATGTGAATTTTCATAATCTCATCCCCAAAACTTGTTCAATGACTTCTTGAGTTTGGCACATGAAGATTTAAAGTGTCTTTGATCTTAGTGAGATGTGAATTTCCCCACATTTATGCATCAACTTGGGTGATAAAGAAAAAAAATTTAAAAAAATCTAAACAATTAAAATAAAAGAAAAAGAAATAAAGGAAAAGAAAAAGTTTTGCTTGGGTTGCCTCCCAAGAAGCACTTACTTTATAGTCATTACCTAGACTTTCTACTACTTCAAGGTGGTTTTGGATTAGGTCATAGGGCATGTCTTCTTGTTTTCTTGAATCTTGGCTTTCTTACTCTTAAGTTGAATCCACCATAAGATTTTCTCCAATGACTATTTTGAGGTGGTTGGGGTTTAGGCCAAGAGATGTGCCTTTCCAATTCTTCTAGGATTGCCCTCTTTGATTCCAAGTAAGACGAGGTTGTGTTCAAGCAATTTATGTATTCTTTGATAGGGTCTTTTGCTTGAATAAGATAAATCTTAAATGAATCCTCAAAATTGTTTTCGTGCAAAATCTCATCAACCATATCAATAATAAAATAATCATTAAAATCATATTTGGTTAATGGAGACTCCCATTGAACACTTCAAATGACACTTGAGATTTTTCTTCTTCCTCTTTAGGGACATCCTCTTGTTTAGTTTCTACAAGTATACTTTCTACTTCTTCAAGTTGTCCTTCAATCTCGAAGGGTAAAGTGTTTACCTCTTCTTCTTGATTTGTCATTGTTGCATCAAGTAACTCACCTTGTATTTCTTCAACAACTAAGTTGAGCGAATAACTTAATTGAACTTCCAAATTTTTGTCCAATCATATTTCCTCTTCTTGAGCTTGAAACCTTGATTATGGCTCCAATATATCTCCATTATTTCATGAGGAATTTGGATAATTTATCCAATCAAAGTTGTATGTATTGGGATAAGTATTACTCTACTGGCTATAAAAATCACAAGAAAAATTACCATGTTTGTTAGATGGGTTAAAATAGCAATTAGAACTAAAATGTTCTAATTCGCACCATCAACAAGTAATATTAAATTGTTTTATCATAA